GGTAAGTGTCCATCCTTCCAACTGTTAACTATGTTGTGCACTGACCACCAGGGGGCAGATGCTCAACGCAGGAGCTGCCATGATGTGCACTGGCCATTTAAAAATAAATGGTACCATGGGCCTGGTGCTGACAAACCAACACTCTGCTTCAGCCAAGTGGGACACAGGCCCCACCACCACCCTGGAGCAACACCCCACCAAATCGCAGCCAACACTGCCAAGACCCTATGGGGCAAAATGTGGCCCCCAGCCCAGCCCAGAAATGGTCTCTGTGGGCACTGGATAATGATGTCACATAGCAATGCTTGGCTTCCTCTCCCTAGTGCAGTGATGGCGAACCTATGACACGCGTGTCAGAGGTGACATGCGAACTCATTTTTTTGGTTGATTTTTCTTTGTTAAATGGCATTTAAATATATAAAATAAATATCAAAAATATAAGTCTTTGTTTTACTATGGTTGCAAATATCAAAAAATTTTTATATGTGACACGGCACCAGAGTTAAGTTAGAGTTTTTCAAAATGCTGACACGCCGAGCTCAAAAGGTTCGCCATCACTACCCTAGTGACTAGCTTCCTTAGAGTTTCTTTAGCCCAGGAACCAGATTTGCTTTATAGCCAGGTGTAAACATTTTACAGTTTAACCAAATGTATGTGAGGGGTTTTCACGCGACTCATCTCATTTGATCCTCACAAAAGTCCTGGAGAGAAGTAAGAAATGGTGGAGCTTGAAAATGACTTCAGATTTTCTCAATGCTCAGAATATAGTCAAACTCTGCTACAGTTAAATATTTTACCTTTTGTTCTCCCAATGTGATCTACAATAATAATCTGCTTTGTGTTGATGTTTACTGCTGTGTTGCTGACTATTACCTGAAAGAGAAGTTGGGGTGCTTCACTGAGCTGGAAAAAAATTTAGCTAAATCAGAAATCAGGTCTAATTAAGCAAGTTTATTCTATATATATAAAAGGCTAAGTTGACTCACGCATGTGTGATACATATAAAGCTCTCACTGGTGCCATTGCACGCATGTGTTTTGATCTGTCGATTATGAATTTGGTTGACACTTTTATTATAAAGGATGAATAACAATATTAAAATATTTCTTCTAATTAATTTCCTTTCAGTGTGCATGAATATGTGCACCAGGACACTAGTATTACATAATGGACTTTTAGCTTTAATGGACACCCCCTCCCCCAAATTAGTTCATTATATCGAGGTTTTACTGTACTGACAGAAGAAAAATCTGTCCCTGGCCTCTCTACTTTTGCTTCTCACCTACTAAAAGAGATTCCAGATCTACTAGCCCAGTTTCTGAACTTGTAAAAAGATAATGGGTAAAAAAAACAGCTGAAGAATTTCAAGGAGTAAGACTGGATGATTGATTTATTTATTTATTTTTTTTTTAAATATATTTTATTGATTCTCCACAGAGAGGAAGGGAGAGAGATAGAGAGCTAGAAAAACATCAATGAGAGAGAAACATTGATCAGTTGCCCCCTGCACAACTCCCACTGGGGATGTGCCCGCAACCCAGGTACATGCCCTTGACCGGAATCGAACCTGGGACCTTTCAGTCCGCAGGCCGACGCTCTATCCACTGAGCCAAACCGGTTTCGGCTGATTGATTTATATTAGAAAGTTGAGAATTGCTTATGAGAAGGGGATCATCAGAGGGGAAAGAGCCAAATAAGCAGTGAATTGAGCGGAGGAGTGGATATGAAGGGTTCAGGGCAGGCACTCTTGAGTGCCAGGGAGCGCGATTGCGCTCCTCCTGTCTTGAGCCAAAAGTGCCGGGAGCGCTATCAAAGCTTCGAAATGGTGTCCAGTTCTAAGTCTGCTTTTATTAGTGATGATATTGCTAAATATGTCAATTCTTGCTGTGAAGATGACGATTTTGTGGAAGATATTGGAGAAGGTTTTCTAACTATCTCTCTCCCTTCCTCTCTGTGGAAAATCAGTAAAATATATTTTAAAAAAAAGGGTTAAGAGAAACATTGTGAGCAAAAGGAATTGGGAAAGAAGATATTAAGAAGCTGCTGTGGATTTTGAAATGGATCTTTTTTATTTTCTTTGAGAGTCTCAACATATTAAGATTTAAATTGCTTTTAACATACTTCTTCTTTTTTTTTTTTTTTTTGAGGTTAGACTTGTTTCTTATATGTGATGCCATTCCAGTGCTGGACTCATGGAGGCTGAACATTTATTCAGGTAATAATAGGTAGCATTTACTTTTTATGTACCAGGCAACAAACTAAATGCTATACCTGTATTGTTATTTAATCCTCACACATCTTCATGAGATTGGGAGTGTTATTGTACCCATTTAATAGATGAAGAAATTAAGACTTAGGGGCTATATCAAGATTGAGTTCAGCTGAATTAAAACATAAAAAGGCTATTGCTGTAGTTGAAGTGAAGGACAATGGTAACTTGGGTTAGATAAGGTCATTCCTCACCTGGCTGGCATAAATATTATGAATGTAAAGTAGTTATGATTGATTGAACTTCACCTCTATTTCTATAATTTTTCCCACTAGTGAAATACATCATACTTTTTTATTGTCTTTAAAACAATGGACATACTTTTTGGTAAAGCAAAATTCAGCTTAGGGTTTTAATTGTAAGGCTTTTCTAACTTTTTAGAAAGTAGATAAAATGTTTTGAAATAGTTTAAATTTATTTGAACAAATATCTACAGAAGGTAAAATATCTATAACTGGGGAATTCTTAAGTGGTGATTCATGTAGATAGTAGGAGTCTTTTGTTGATTTCGTCACGCTGGAGATACTGTTTACAGATATTTTTAGCTTTGAAGAACCTTATTAGAGTTTCTTATAAGAGCTTTCTTGGTGTATCTAAATGCTTATTTAAAGATCACATTAATTGTATCACTTGCCGGAACTGGGAGGGTTTTAGCACTACTGACTGAAGATGAGTCAAAAAAGAAGACTGAAATTATAATATAAATAATGAAAGTATTTTTAGGTTTAAGAAAATTGAGATTTATCTGCTACTTTGTGTGGTCCAAGTTTAATTTTGCCAAGTGTTATCTGTACAACAAGATAGAGCAAACTGCTTTTATTACTACTACCTTATCAGTTATTGAGTGGCCAGCATGAGTACATTGCCCTATTTTTCTTTCTCCATCTTATTTTTAAAAGCTTGATTGATCTATAATTGACATACAGTAAACTGTATATATTAAAAATGTACAAATTAAAAATTTTGACATAAGTGTTCACCCATGAAACTAAAACCAGAGTCAAGATAATGAACATATTCATCAGCCCCACAGGTTTCCTTATTCCCATTTGTAGTCGGTCCCTCAACCCCTGTGGTCTCTAGGCCACTACTGATCAACTGTCTGTCACTATAGAATAATTTCCATTGTCTAGAATTTTATATAAATGGAATTGTAAAGTATATGTTCTCACATTTATTTCTGGTTTGACTTTTTTTTTCCACTAAGCATAATTATTTTGAGATTTATGTATGCTATTGCATGTGTCAGTAGTTCATTCCTTTTTATTGCTGAGTAGCAATCTGTTGTATAGCTATAACAGTTTGTTTATCCATTCACTTGTTGATGTACATTTGGGTTGTTTTCAGCAACTACAAATAAAGCTATGCTATGAATATTTGTGTACAAATTTTTGTATGGACATATATTTTTTCCTCCAAGTTAATTTTTTGAGGTAAAATTCATATAACATACAATTGATAATTTCAAAGTCTACAATTCAGTGGTACTTAATAAATTTACAATGCTGTGCAACCACAATCTCTCTAGTTTTAAAACTCTTTGATTATTTCATAAACCATTCCATATCCATTAAGTAACCACTCCCTATTTCTACCTCCCCTTGTAACCTCAAATATGCTTTCTGTCTCTATGGATTTGCTTAGTATGGGTATAAAATATAAAAGAAATAAGACAATATGTGACCTTTTGTGTCTGACTTTTTTCATTTAGCATAATGTTTTAGAGGTTCATCCAAATTGTATTGTGTATCAATACTTTTCTCCTTTCTATGGTGAATAATAGTCCATTGTGTGGTATGTTACATCTTATTTATCCATTCATCAGTTGGTGGACATCAGGATTGTTTCCACTTTTTGGGCACTATGAATGATACTACTATGAACATTTATGTACAGGTTTTCATTTCTCTTGGGTGTATATCCTAGGAGTGTAATTGCTGGATCATATGGTAACACTATGTTTAACTTTTTGAGGAACTGTCAAATTGCTTCCAAAGTGGTTGTGCTATTTTACATTACCACTACCATTGTATGAGGGTTCCAATTTGTTTATCCTCATCAAACATCTTATTGTCTGTCTTTTTGGTCTAGCCATCCTAGTGGGTGTGTTATTTCTAAGTATTGGTACTTTTCTATTTTTCCTTTTGTTGTTTATGCTTTTAAGATTTTGCCTAACCCAAGGTCACAGAGATTTATTTCAAAGTTTTCTTTTAAGAGTTTTATAGTTTTAGCTCTTTGAGTTAATTTTTGTGTATGGTCTGAGGTATGGTTTGAACTTTATTCTTTTAAGTGTAGATATCCACTTGTCCTAGTACCATTTGTTGAAAACGCTGTTCTTGGCCTATTTGATTGTCTTGGCACCCTTGTCGAAAATTAGTTGACCATAAATATAAGGGTGTATTTTTGGGTATTTACTTCTGTTCCACTACAACACTGTTTTGATTACTGTAGCTTTGAGTATACAGTAAGTTGAAATTGGGAAATGTGAGTCCTCCAATTTTGTTTTTCTTTCTCATCATTATGTCATTTATTCTAGGTCTCTTGCATTCCATGTGAATTTTAGATTATTCTGTCAATTTTTCTGCAAAAAAGTCATCTAGGATTTTTAAAAAAAATATATTTTATTAATTTTTTACAGAGAAGAAGGGAGAGGGAATAGAGAGTTAGAAACATCAATCAGCTGCCTCCTGCACACCCCCCACTAGGGATGTGCCTGCAACCAAGGTACATGCCCTTGACTGGAATCGAACCAGGGACCCTTCAGTCCGCAGGCCGATGCTCTATCCACCGAGCCAAACCGGCCAGGGCAAGTCATCTAGGATTTTTTAAAAAATGTTTTTATTAATTTCAGAGAGAGAAAGGGAGAGGAAGAGAGAAACATCAATGATGAGAGAGAACCACTGATTGGCTGCCTCCTGCATGTCCCCTATTGGGGATCGAGCAGGAACCCAGGCATGTGTCCTGATTGGGAATCAATCCGTGAATTCCTGGTTCATGGGTCGAATCTCAACCACTGTACCACACAGGTCAGGTTTCATCTAGGATTTCGATAGGAATTGCATTGAATCTGTAGATCAGTTTTGGGAGTGTTACCATCTTAGTAATAGTAAGTCTTCCAATCCATGAATATGGGATATCTTCCCCTTATTTAGATCTTTAATTTCTGTCAATAGTAGTTTATAATTTTTCAATATACAAGTCTTACACTTTTTTTTTAACCCATACAACTTACACTTCTTTTGTTAAATTTATACCTAAGTGTTTTATTATTCTTGTTACAGTTGTAAATGGAGTTTTTTCTTAATTTAGTATTTTGACTGTTCAATTTTTGTACATTGATCTTATATCTTTCAACCTTGCTGAACTTATTAGTTTTTAGTAGGTTCCTTAGGATTTTCTAGGTACAAGATCATGTCTGCAAACGGAGATATTTTCACTTCTTTTTGAATCTGGATTTTTTTCTTTCTCTTATTGCCTCATGCTCTAGCCAGTACCCGCAGTGCAATGTTGAATAGCAGTGGCAAAACTGTGCATCCTTGTCTTGTTACTAAGCTTGTACTCAGTCTTTCGCTGTTAAGTATGATTTTATTTATGGGGTTTTGTAGATTCCCTTTATGAGGTTGAGTTATTTTCTTAGTGATTGCCCTGGGGATTACAATTACCATTTTAATTTATAACAATGTAGTTCAGTTAATACCAACTCAATTACAATAGTATACATAACAATTATAATAATATACAAAACTTTGTGCTTGTATAACTCTGTTCCCTCTCCCCTCTTTTGTGCTATTATTATCGTACAATTTGAATCTTTGTACATGGTGTGCCCAGCAACACAGATTTATAATTGTAGCTTTATGCAATTGTCTTTTAAATCAGATGGAAAAATAGAGTTACAAACAAAAAATACATATATACTGTCTTTTACATTTACCTATGTAGTTACCTTTACCATTACTCTTTTATTTCTTTGTTTGTATTTGAGTTACTGTCTAGTGTCCTTTTATTTTAGTCTGAGTGATTCTCATAGTATTTCTTATGATTTAGGTCTGCTAGCAGTAAGTTTTCTCATTTTTATGTGGGAATGTCTTAATTTTTCTATTTTTAAATTAATTGTTAAGTTTTTTAATTTTTTAATCCTCACTTGAGGATATATTGCTTTCTTATTGATTTTTGGAGAGAGAGAGAAACATTGATGGGACGGGTCTTGACCCATCTTCCGTGCCCCTGCCCGGCCCCTCCCACCGTGTCCCCTGGTCCCCTGTCTGCTGGCAGCCCTGTTTCTGCTGCCACCACTCCCACACGCTAATGGTGGCGCTGGCCCCGTTTGCACCTGCTGATGGTGCAGAGTGATTGTGGCCGGTGCTAGCAGCGGGTGCAAGTGGGGCCAGTGCCATCAGTCTATGTGCCCCAATCGGGGATCGAACTGGCAACCCAGCCATGTGCCCTGGGTTGAGATAGAGAATTGAACCCAAGTCTTTTTCTCTGGTGCGTGGAACAATGCTGCAACCAACTGAGCCACCTGGCCAGGGCTCCTTCATTTTTAAAGGATGCTTTTACTGGATATAGAATTCTTGGTTGACAATCCCTCCCTCCCTCCCTCCCTCCCTCCCTCTC